AAAATCTTTGTACTTTGTACAAGGAGTTGTAATGAAGGCGCCTTGAATTTCTCCTTGAACCGGTTGCGGAAATAAAACACAGAAAATGCTAAAAGCACCCTTTAACCTAGGTGAATATGATAACCATGGATTATACTGGGTCAGCCAGGATTCCCTGAAACAATGTTTTCCACTTCCAGACATGTCGCCTTTAAAATCATATGACGGTTGAGGCTTGTATGGATCAGTTAGCAAACGATACTCAAGGTCGATAGGAATCTTCGTAGTAGATTTTACATAGAGTCCAATGTCATAGGTTAACTTAGTCTCTCCACTAAGCTTATAAAAAGAACAAACTACTAAATAAACAAACACTACATAACATTTCCAAATGTATTCAACTCGACCATAAACAATAATCACCCCAAACTAAAAGGCATTGAAACTACATTGAAAACCCGAATAAAACACACACAAGAAAACCATAACTAGATTAAAACTAAAACTAGATTAAAACTAAAACTAGATTAAAACTAAAACTAGATTAAAACTAAAACTAGATTAAAACTAAAACTAGATTAAAACTAAAACTAGATTAAAACTAAAACTAGATTAAAACTAAAACTAGATTAAAACTAAAACTAGATTAAAACTAAAACTAGATTAAAACTAAAACTAGATTAAAACTAAAACTAGATTAAAACTAAAACTAGATTAAAACTAAAACTAGATTAAAACTAAAACTAAATTAAAACTAAAACTAAATAAAAACTAAAACTATATCTAGATTAAAACTAAAACTAGATTAAAACTTAAACTAAAACCCAACCAGTCTCCATAGCCCTGGTAGAAAATAAAATAAATACAAGTTAAGAAACAAAACACTTTAAAATGATATAACATAATTAATAAAATAAATTATGTTAATTTACAATATAACGAGTTTATTAATAATAACTAAAGTAAAATAATCACAATAATTAGATTATTAAAGGCTTGCAAAATAACTTAACCCACTTTATATGCAAAATATACATAATAAAAATATTTATGTTCAAAACAACTTTTGGCTCACAACATACATTGATACATGAAATAATTAATATAGAAAATATAAAAATAATTACCCAGTAAAACGAGATCAGCATCAGCTTAGTTACTTTCTCTTTATTTTCTCTTTACTTTAATACATTTTTTGTCTATTTTTTTCTAAAAAATTTGTTTAATCAATCAATCCAGGGTGTGGGGCAAGTGCCCCCTTTGCCCCCCCCCCTATCGGGCGCCCAAGAACCAGAGTAGGCCGCATGTGACTGTGCATGTTACAATATGTTGTAGGTGACTGTGTGTTACAATATGTTGTAGGTGACTCTGTGTGTTACAATATGTTGCAGGTCACTGTGTGACTGTGTGTATAACAATATCTTGTAAGTTAGTGTGTATGTTACACTATGTTGTAGGTTACTGTGTGTGTTACCATATGTTGTAGTTAACTGTGTGTGTTACAGTATGCTATGGTTGACTTTGATCTTATAATATCATAGGCCATTGGAGACGTCGTAAAGTTAAAAAAACAAAATGGTGGGGTTGACACCACGAGTTCAACACACATTTTGACAGCAACCCTAGCGTCGATACGGAGTTGCCCCACTCATGTCCTGGTCGCAAGTTTCCATAATTATTTAGTTACTCAGATGGCTGACTGTAGGGGTCACCAATCGCTTTAGTTATATAGTTGCTGAAATGACTCCAGGGGTCACCACTCGCCTTAGTTATATTGTTCTTAGATAACTGCAGGGATCACCAGTCGCCTTAGTTATATAGTTCTCAAATGACTGCAGGGGTCACCATTCGCCGTAGTTACATAGTTGCTCAAATTAGAGACCGATCGAATTTCGGCTTTGGCTTCGGTTTCGGCGCCGAAAGTGGCCATATTATCACTTTCGGCCGAAACTAAAAAGTTAACTTTTGGCTTAATTTCGGTTTCGGCCGAAAGAGAAAAGTTAACTTTCAGTTTTTCTTCGGTTTCGGCCGAAATTGACTTAGATTGTGGGCCATCCAGCTGATAGTGACTCAGGTTTTCGGTCATTTAATACTCAGCGAAAGCGATATTTAACAACAAACTTAAGTGACATTTAAGAACAAATTAAGCGATCTTTAATAACAAACTAAACGATCTTAAAGAACAAACTAAACGATTTTTAAGACCGAACTAAATGATCATTAAGAAAAAAAATGATTTTTAATAGTAACCTAAATGATTTATAAGAATAAACTTAGCGATCTTTAACAGAAAACTAAATGTTCTTTAGGAACAAACAAAAAGATCTTTAAGAACAAACTAATCGATCTTAAGGAACAAAATAAATTATCTTTAAGAACAAACTAAGCGATCTTTATGAAAAAACTAAGCGATCTTTAACAACAAACTAAGCGATCTTTATGAATAAACTAAACGATCTTTAAGAACAAATAAAGCGAGCATTAATAAAAACTGGACCATCTTTAACAACAAACTAAATGATCTTTAACAACGAACCAGGCGATCTTTATGAACAAACTAACCGATCAATAACAGCCAACTAAACGATCTTTAAAAACAAATTAAGTGATCTTTTAGAACCACAATTTTTAGAGACCCGGTTTAAAAAAATAATATTTGCATTATTCCCCCCCCCCCCCCCCCAATTTTTCTCTTACAATACGATTTTAAAAAANAAATTCATTAGACTAGATCAAGGGTCTCAAACTAAAATCATCAGGGGGGTGGGCGCAGGAGGTAGTGTCTGAATGAGAGTGGGCCGCATCAAGTAATCCACAAAAAAGCGATTACAACTGTTACAATCTGCTCAACCTTTATAAATAACAATAAAATCATTAAGAGTTCTCAAGAACTAGGATTCACTTTCATCCATCTACTCACTGTAGCATATAAAAATATAATATAAAAAATAATCAGAATTAGACTAGTCGGTGAGATTCGACTGAAACCGTCGCGGAGAGTCACGTTATAGATATGAGAATGGGGGAAACGAGCCGCGCATTTACACTAAACTTTTCTGTCATGTAGCGGGCCGCAAAATATCGTCTTGCGGGTCACAAATGGCTCGCGGGCCGCGAGTTTGAGACCCCTATATCAGATGTTTATTAATATTCACGATTATCACATTTTTTATAAAAAGAATGTAAATATTTATACTTTCCCACATCATGTTCGATGCATGCAGAATGTATGTGGGAACGAATTTCAAAATATCTTAATATTTCATTTTCGGTTTCGGCTTCGGTTTCGGCTTTGGTTTCGGCTTCGGTTTCGGTTTCGGCTTCGGCCGAAATTCATTTTTAACTTTCGGCCTTTCTTCGGTTTCGTCCGAAAGTCATTTTAAACTTTCGGCCTTTTTTCGGTTTCGGCCAAAAGTCATTTTAAACTTTCGGCCTATTTTCGGCTTCGGCCGAAATCAGAAAATCACTTTCGGTTGGTCTCTAGTTCAAATGACTCCAGGGGTCACCATTCGCCTTCGTTATATAGTTCTCAGATGACTTCAGGGGTCACCCGTCGCCTTAGTTATATAGTTCTCAAATGACTGCAGGGGTCACCAGTCGCCTTAGTTATAGAGTTCCCCCACTGAATTCACAGGTGTGTCACATGACCGGCTCATACCTCACTCATTTACCTGGTCTGGGTTGCTCGGTGCGCCCTGGCACGTGCTAGCCAGACTACCTGTGATCCAGACAAGAACTTGGGGAACAGACATCTTCGGGCCTCGTTAGCTTTTGTTCTCTTTCGTGGGGGTTAGGAAGGTAAAGGCGGGGGTTAGGAAGGTAAAGGCGGGGGTCAGCGGATATGACGAGATGTGACCCCGGGGGTGGCGTAGGTAGTTAAGGCCGGTTGATAGAGGATGGGGGCCTTAAGTAGGAGCTGTTAAGGGAGTTAGGCAAGTAAGGGCGGTTTGATGGAGGATGGGGCCTTAAGTAGGAGGTGATAGGGGAGTTATGGAAGAAAGGTCGGTTGATAAAGGTTCCATTTGTTTCTAAGATTTATAAACTACCGTAATATTTTATTTTTTTTCTTCTATGAAGTTACGACTTCGACCTTGGTCATTATCTATTACTACACGTTTTCCCAATTATTGGCTTCTCAACATTTCTAAAATCCCGTTGATCCTTACAAAGTTGCTGGAACGTCCTCGTGAGGGAGCTGCTTGTTGACACACATTGACCCCAACCCACAAAACCCAACCCCCACCCCCAACCCAAACCCTTACCCCCACTATTGCAGGGCAACAAAGGACATTGCTCATCTATCAGATAACTAAAGGAAATGCTTGTATAACAACCAGGCCAACAGTTTGTCCATGTTTATGTAGATTGACAATTTGTCCATGTTTATGTAGATTGACAATTTGTCCATGTCTATGTAGATTGACAAACCATTTGTCCATGTTTATGTAGATTGACAAACCATTTGTCCACGTTTATGTAGATTGACAATCCATTTGTCCACATTTATGTAGATTGACAAAAAAATTGTCCATGTTTATGTAGATTGACAAACAATTTGTCCATGTTTATGTAGATTGACAAACAATTTGTTCATGTTTTTGTAGATTGACAAACAATTTGTCCATGTTTATGTAGATTGACAAACAATTTGTCCATGTTAATTTAAATTGACATTCCAATATTCTGTGTTTATGTAAATTGTGGATTAAAAATCCAACCATTTCATCAAGGCATTTCATGGAATTACTTTCTTACAACTTTATACAATTACAACTTGCTTGTCCTTTATGACATGCCATATATCTCGTCATCAGCCCTTACCTAGGATTCACTGAGAACAATATACTCTCTGACACCATCGCACGCGGGGAGTGCACTGACATCAACCTCGATATAGAAGAAGGTCAGCCAATCAGAAACGACGAATGTGGCATCAAAAAAAAAAAAAAACTTGTCTGACGTCATCGCCGTTCTGGGTTGTCGGGGGGGTATAAAAGCGAGGAGGTTCCCTTGCCGGAATCAATACAAGCTCAGCTCAACTCGGATGGCGCTAGAATTAGATGTATACAAGTGTACAGTATTGATTTGTTCTACTCAGTTTTAGTGTATTTGTGTTGAGTAGTTAAAGAACTTTTGTTTTATATTATCTAACGGTTGAAATATAAATATATACATTTTCTTGACCTTTGCATCTATTGTATAAACGTAAATTTATAAACTGTTTTATTCGAGACAAACAAGGAATGACAAGAAGCTCTAAGCCAATGCCAGAGATATCACTTCCGGTTGATATGAATCGCTTTCATTCTGCCATTCGGGACGACCTCATCCTTCCAGACCGCTTCTTCTCGTCCTCGTTTCCATCCTCGCGATGCAACTCGTTGAAAACAAAACGAGGGAGCAGCACCAGACGAGAGAAGCGATGGTCGCACAGCATGACCAGGTCCAACAGCGTCAGTCTGCCCGACTGCTCCGACTCCGAGCGCCGCATCGCTGCGCCGCTGTCCAAACAGAAGTGCCGCATGTGCACGGTCCGGGCGTTCAAGACCACGTCCAAGGGTGTCGTGGACTCGGGCAGCTTCTCAAAGTCCCTGAGCTCCAACAGCCTGCTGTCCTCGGGGAGTCTCAACACCTCCCACGGGAGCGGAGACTTCTACAGCCGGAGCACTTCGGTGGAGCGGAACAGGGAGAGCAGTGTCGACTCCAACGATGACTCCGAGGGGGCCCCTAGCATATCTTCGGCACCCTTCTACTTCAGAACCGTGGTGTTGGGAGCCCCAGGAGTTGGCAAATCGTCCTTGATTCAACAACTGACTAGATGTGACCCCTCCAATGGTGAGTTATTTGAGCTGGCTAGATGGTACCCCTAGATGTATAATCTCCATGAGACCAGATATGGCCCCTATATGTATAATCTTCATGTGGCTAGATGGTACCCCTAGATGTGTCAGCTTCTTGGGGCTAGATTGGACCCCTAGATGTATAATCTTCATGGGGCTAGATGGGACCCCTAGATGTATTATCTTCCTGGGGGCTAGATGGGACCCCTATATGTATAATCTTCATGGGGCTAGATGGTACCCCTAGTTGTATAATCTTCATGTGGCTAGATGGGACCCCTATATGTATAATCTTCACGTGGCTAGATGGTACCCCTAGATGTGTCAGCTTCTTGGGGCTAGATTGGACCCCTAAATGTATACTCTTCATGTGGCTAGATGGGACCCCTAGATGTATCATCTTCCTGGGGGCTAGATGGGACCCCTAATTGTATAATCTTCATGTGGCTAGATGGGACCACTAGATGTATAATCTTCATGGGGCTAGACAGGACCACTAGATGTATCATCTTCATGTGGCTAGATGGGACCCCTAATTGTATAATCTTCATGTGTCTAGACGGAACCACTAGATGTAAAATCTCAAGAATGGCTACATGAATTGCTACCTTAATTTTCTTTCAAATATCGTACACAAATATATCCACACTTTAGCAATGTATCCACACTTTATCAACTTAGCCATTTCTTCTAAGGACTACTTTCTGATTGCTTGGACACATGAGTAGGAAGTGTTATAGTTAAATTACATTCGGAAAATATGATGTTACTAGGTAGAAAATAAATACTGTTTGACCACTATAAAAATATTGACATGGCATGGCTTAAGAAGATATGCATGACATGTGACATGTGACATGTCTATCTTTTCTGGTGCACCACCCCCCCCCCGACCCTTTTTACTTCCAAATTTTCTTTTGCTCAAACGACTATCTTTATAAAGGAATGTACACATTTTATAAAAACCCTCAAGAGAGACACACTTGCTTTTAACATTTTAACATCAAACCCATTTTATAATTGTTTGATAGTTACCATAATTTTATCATCGTTTTGGTAGTTACCCCCTGGGGTGTTTTAAATAGGAAGCTCACCCATTGTTGTGTTGAGGGAGCAATACAAAACCTTAGAACTAGCTTATAGCCCAAGTGCAACCATTCTGTTCTGTCAATATCCTTTAGCTCAAGAGCAACCAATCTGTTCTGTCCCTAGCTTATAGCTCAAGAGCAACCATTCTGTTCTTCCACTAGCTTTTAGCTCAATTGCAACCATTCTGGTCTGTCATTAGCTTTTAGCTCAAGTGCAACCATTCTGTTCTGTCAAAAGCCTTTAGCTCAAGAGCAACCATTATGTTCTGTCCCTAGCTTATAGCTCAAGTGCAACCATTCTGTTCTGTCACTAGCTTTTAGCTCAAGAGCAACTATTCTGTTCTGTCACTAGCTTTTAGCTCAAGTGCAACCATTCTGTTCTGTCACTAGCTTTTAGCTCAAGAGCAACTATTCTGTTTTTTCACTAGCTTATAGCTCAAGTGTAACCATTCTGTTCTTCCACTAGCTTTTAGCTCAATTGCAACCATTCTGTTCTGTCATTAGCTTTTAGCTCAAGTGCAACCATTCTGTTCTGTCACTAGGCAACCATTCTGTCACTAGGCAACCATTCTGTCACTAGGCAACCATTCTGTCACTAGGTAACCATTCTGTCACTAGGCAACCATTCTGTCACTAGGCAACCATTCTGTTCTGTCACTAGAAGAGGGAAACTAAAGACCACCAGAAGCTAAAATGAACCACCACCACCCCCCATCACCCCACCCCCATGAAGCCCCCTCACTACCATCCCATCTGACCCGACCCCTTCTCCCCCCTTTTTCTATTCCCAAGTAGAAAAGCGGTGAAATCAATCAGAAATTGCGACATACGTGTTGAACGTAAGGAGCACGGAACTCTTTCACCAAATCATTTCTCACTTCCGTTTTCTTCCCATCGCCACTTCTCCCCCCCTCCTCACCCTAATAGTTTTAACCTTTAGCAAACATGCTGCCACGAGGGACACGGGCGAGGGCGTTGGGGAGGTTGGGGTTAATGAAGGACAGAGTGGCGTTTGGGGGGGGGGGTTAAATGATCCGGGGGCCCGGGAGGAGACGGCTTAGCCGTCGCCACTTCTCCCCCCCTCCTCACCCTAATAGTTTTAACCGTTAGCAAACATGCTGCCACGAGGGACCCGGGCGAGGGCGTTGGGGAGGTTGGGGTTAATGAAGGACAGAGTGGCGTTTGGGGGGGGGGGTTAAATGATCCGAGGGCCCGAGTGGAGACGGCTTAGCCGGCCCCTAATTAGGGCGCCACAACAAAAAACCGGTCTCCTTGGGAGAATTGATTCCTCCGATCCAATCTGCCTGAGACTGATTTCATTGGGCGCAACGTGCAATAACAGAAATGTTGACGTGATGCGCGCTTGCACGAGAGTCGAGGAATGGTGATCACCGACCTCGGGATGAAATATTACCTAAACTCTCACCTGAACGTCATCGTACCTACACTTTGAGCCCACAACACAACATATTACCTAAACTCGAATCTAAATATCATCGTACCTAAAATCTGATATAGCAAAACAACATATTACCTAAACCTAAACTCTGACGTGTGACCCGCTGTTCACAACACTCCTTTGTTACCTTATTTCAATTGACAGTAGTCAAATTTCCACAAGTCGATTTTCAACAGCAACTTGTCCATTTTTATTCCCACCCCTCTCTCCTCCCTCTCCCGCTCTCTCTCTCCCCCCCCCTCTCTCTCTCCCCCCCCCCCTCTCTCTCTCTCTCTCTCTCTCTCTCTCTCTCTCCCTCTCTCTCTCTCTCTCTCTCTCTCTCTCTCTCTCCGTCAAACTCAACAAATGGCTCAATTCTTTAACTCTCCAAGAAAACGAAGCAAAATATCAATCAATCGGAAATCCGATCGATACCATTACCAGCTCTGCTGTCAAACCAATTGTACTTTAAATAATCAATATCATTAAACAAAATCTAACCGTGACATTATTCAATCGTCAACGATATTCAAACGACGATTCCAATTGTGTACTTAAAAAAAAAAATTAATATATTGTTGTAATTTTACACTTACAGATATTAGGGAGACTGTCTTATTCTCAAGAGTCTGTTTCGCATTCACTTAATACGGCCAACATTTGCATTGGGGAAATGACAGGGAGAAATACCGAGGGATCTAATGAATGATGCTAAATTTAAAGCTATCATTTTTGTAAACAAAGAAGGACCGTTTTGAAAGAGAAGGGTGGGGGGAAAAAAAATCAATATTACCCCATTCATCTGATCGTCGTAAAGCTCTAAAATGATCGCTGTAAAGCTCTAAATTGTTCGCTGTAAAGCTCTAAGCTAAATTGTTGCCTTACTTATAAGTTGTTGAATTATTGTTGAATTATTGAACGCGATGGGGGTCAGCCATGATTAACGCGTGTCAACAGGGGAGCGGAGGAGACAACCCTGCATAAACTCTGACGTCAATCAGCAGGCGATGCAACAGATCAAGAAAGCGGTTAAAAGGGGGAAGGGGGGGGTGGGGTTAAAAATCAATGGAGAATTCTTGTGGGGCGCAGTTTCCCGCCTCCCTCAGTGCGTACACAAAACTAACCCCCACCTATCTCCAAACAGTGTATCTGTTAATGGAAAATTGCGGATATTAACATCTCGGGTTGTAGTGGATCGACATCCTTTATTTGTTTCTGAGAATGTTAAAATAATGTGATCTAGTTGTTAGATATAACCTGAGCTCCAACATCACGTGATCTCGTTGTTAGATATAACCTGAGCTCCAACATCACGTGATCTCGTTGTTAGAAATAACCTGAGCTCCAACATCACGTGATCTCGTTGTTAGAAATAACCTGAGCTCCAACATCACGTGATCTCGTTGTTAGAAATAACCTGAGCTCCAACATCACGTGATCTCGTTGTTAGATATAACCTGAGCTCCAACATCACGTGATCTCGTTGTTAGAAATAACCTGAGCTCCAACATCACGTGATCTCGTTGTTAGATATAACCTGAGCTCCAACATCACGTGATCTCGTTGTTAGAAATAACCTGAGCTCCAACATCACGTGATCTCGTTGTTAGATATAACCTGAGCTCCAACATCACGTGATCTCGTTGTTAGAAATAACCTGAGCTCCAACATCACGTGATCTCGTTGTTAGAAATAACCTGAGCTCCAAATCCAAACTTGTAAAAATCGAATTAGTAGAATATATGGTTGATTAACATCGTCCCCTTTTACAACTTGCTGATGTTAGACCAACGCTTGGCTGGGGTGTGTGGGGGTAAGTGAGGGGGGTGGATGGGCTGTGGTGTGTGGGGGTAAGTGAGGGGGGTGGATGGGGTGGGGTGTTTGGGGGTAAGTGAGGGGGGTGGATGGGGTGGGGGTGTGACTGGGGTGTTGGTGGGGTGAGGGTCGGGTCAGGGGTGAGTAGGGGTGGATGAGATGCGCATCTTATTTAAAAAAAAAAAATAATAATGTTGATGTTACTCTAGTTATTTTAAGGCTATATCATTATGGCTATGATGTTAACCGTGTTAACGCCAATACACTATATCTCATAAAATAATTATTTTGAAAAAAATCTATTTCCTCCTTAGATGATGACGAACCAAGATTTGTCGACAGTGGTGCCATTGTGTCAGTCCAACTGGATGGTCAAGAGTCCACTATGGAATTTATAAGTGGATCAGATGTGAGTACACCTTAATCACTTTTGTGTGGTCCCAATGAACTCTTGTAAAGACAAAAATCAGGTCTTAACCCAATACAGACAATTATAGCTAAGCCAAGGCTAGTGCCGCCAGGTACATCTAGGCTAGTGCCGCCAGGTACATCTAGGCTAGTGCCGCCAGGTACATCTAGGCTAGTGCCGTCAGGTACATCTAGGCTAGTGCCGCCAGGTACATCTAGGCTAGTGCCGCCAGGGACATCTAGGCTAGTGCCGCCAGGGACATCTAGGCTAGTGCAGGGACATCATCCGATCACGGCGGTCCCTGTAGATGGCTAGTGCAGGGACATCTAGGCTAGTGCCGCCAGGGACATCTAGGCTAGTGCCGCCAGGGACATCTAGGCTAGTGCCACCAGGGACATCTAGGCTAGTGCCGCCAGGGACATCTAGGCTAGTGCCGCCAGGGACATCTAGGCTAGTGCCGCCAGGGACATCTAGGCTAGTGCCACCAGGGACATCTAGGCTAGTGCCACCAGGGACATCTAGGCTAGTGACGCCTCTTTATCATGCCAAATTCCTTCTCAGGCTATATGTAAACGAAGCACTGATTGAAAGAAAGACAAGGGATTTGGAGAAGAACTACGTGCCGATAGTCAGTCGTGTCGATAGTCAGACGTACTGGGCGTATAGGCCAGACACGCGACGCCATCTTAACGTATCCCCCTCACACACACCTGATCCGCACACAAACAGAACGATCCGCCCACACATCTATCTCACACATGTATGTGAGTACGAATTCAAGGGTAGGTATTTCCACATCAGAGTGACGTAAGAAGCAGCAACGATTCCCAGTCTGCAGTTGATGACAAACACAGCAGCCTGCATGCAGAGTGAAAACTGTTAGAGATCTATGTGTAATGTGTATCATACAACATAGTATCAGAATCAGGAATAGGTTGAAATATATGATCATACAAGGTAGTGTCTACCCAAGAGTCAGACCTAAGTTGAGATCTGTGTAGCATACATATTTTGTATAAAGCATAAAATAACATTTTAAAGGTCACTCCATTCCAATGTACTTTTCATGCAAGATGGACTACTACTGTCGAGTGTAAATACTACTGTCAAGTGTCGTATCCGGAAATTTGATCGAAAGATATATTTGTCGACGGTAAATTGAACGACGGTAATTTGATAGAACGGAAATTTGGTCGAAACATTTTTTTCTTCAGTTTTTACGTTAAAATTTTGCTTCAAATTTCTTTTTGAACGCATTATTTTGTTTTACTATAAAGTATAGTGCGTTCAAAAAGAAATTTGACGAAAATTTTAACGTGTGAACTGAAAAAAAGAAGAAAAGATTCGACCAAATTTACGTTCGATCAAATTTCCGTCGACGAAATTTCTTTCGATCAAATTTCCGGTAACCGTAAATGGTAAATGCTACTATCAAGTTAACTTCTACCATCACGTGTAAATACTAGTTTAGAGTCTGGATGTCAGTAGAGGAAACAGAATAAAATGTAATGTCATTTTAATAGTCACAAGTTTCATGAAGTTTAATCTCCTTACGTTCATCAAGCAGACGTGTCTAGCGTCGCCAGGTTAACCAGAGTTTGAGATCCATTGGGGATAAACGATGATTGGTCGTAGGTAGGCGTGGTATTCCAATCTCGAGCTTGCCGTCACCCTATCAACCCCTAGAATTCCATATTATCCACCCTCTAGCATTCCACCTTATCCACCTCTAGCATCCCACCTTATAAACCCTTAGCATCCCACCTTATCCACCTCCAGCATCCTACCTTATCCACCTCTAGCATCCCACCTTATCCACCTCCAGCATCCCACCTTATCCACCTCTAGCATCCCACCTTATCCACCTCTAGCATCCCACCTTATCCACCCCTAGCATCCCACCTTATCCACCCCTAACTGTCCAGCCTATCAACCCATTAGCATTTCATCTTCATCAAACCGCCAGGAGGCGATATTCTGCCCCCCCCCCCCCCCTTCTACCTGCTGTTGTCATGATACCATAACGAGACTCTGCGGGAGGCGCCCCCCTGGGGCGTATCGATCATCTCACGATTTCCTCCCTAATCGATTCTTCTAGTGATCGATTCCTGCCTGCTGATTCTGGGTTTGTGAACGGATTGCTGGACTGTGTTTACAATACATGCTTGAGTACGGGCCCCCATGAAAAAAAAAGGGGGGGGGGGATCTAATACAAATAAATCATCACTTAAAGCTGCATGTCACACGTTCATGAGATTGTAGTGGCCATCAAAGGGATATCACGCTTGACCATACATCTGTATGATGCCGTGTCATCATTTACTTTGTGTTCATGAACATAAAAACATGCAACTCACGTACTTGGAGTTGATCGATGTTTGATACTAATGTTTTTTTCTCTCTCTCTCTCTCTCTCTCTCTGCATCTCTTTTTTTTCCTCTCTCTACGGCTCTTATTTTCTCTCTCTCTACCTCTCGCTAGCTCTAATTTTTTCTCTCTCTCTCTCTACATCTCTATTTTTCTCTCTCTCTACAGTTCCTAATCTCTCTCTCTCTCTCTCTCTCTCTCTCTCTCTACATCTCTTATTTTTCTCTTTCTGCAACTCTTATTTTTCTCTATCTGGATCTCTTATTTTCTTTCCCTCTCCCTACATCTCTTCTTTTCTTTCTCTACAGCTCTTGGACCTGGAATGTTACAAAGCGGACGCTTACATATTGATGTACGCGGTATCTGAACCCGAGTCCTTCACGCGGGCCTCTACACTGCTGACGTATCTAAGACAAGACATGGGCACCGATCGCACCATGTTCCTTGTGGCCAACAAGTCTGACCTCGTGCGGCAGAGGGTGGTGTCCTCCATTGGTAGGTCGCTCATGTTGGCGTCATCGCGCCTAAGCCGCATTTATTTTAAACTATTCTTTTGACAAACTGTCACCAACTCTACTGACAGATTTTGTCTTTAAAAAAACAAAAACAATAACAATTACATAACTAATAGCAATTGAATCATTTCTTGAGTAGTAAATGTCCCCACCCCCACCCCACCCCGCAAAAGATTCTTGTCCATCGTTCCTCTATTTAAACCTTTTTAAGTGTAGGTGCTGAAATCCATTTTGAAATTCTTATCAGTCTGTTTTGCAGTAACTACAACATTTTCTTCTAACTTTCAGAAGCCAAAAAGTTCTCCCAGAATAACGACTGCCACTTCCTGGAGACATCCACGGCGTTGAACATCAACATCGACCAGCTGCTCATCGGGATCTTGTGCAACATCAAAAAACAGTTGACGCCCCTGAGTCAGCACGAGCAGGACAACAACTTCCGTCAGAAATGTCCCAGCACGGAGCGACGCCCGCGTTCACCCAAGCGCGCGCTGTCCGCTATCAGCAACTTCCTCAAGCAGGCGTGCCGACGAGACAGCAGGAGAAGGGACGTCACCCCTGTCCCGCAGTTGGCCTAAAAGGATTGGATGCAGCATTTTTTAAAATTTGGTTTTGTTCATGTTCTATTGCGTTTAGTTCCACGTGAATGTTGGAAGCTGTAGACAGAGTTAGCCACTTGTTGTTAGCCGTTGTCATGTTGCAGCCACTTGGGTTAGCTGTTTTGTTGTTGAGCCACTTATGTTGCTATTTCTGTAATGCTCGACTTCGATCGGTTGGCATCCCCCCCCCCCCTTACCCTTATAAGCACGCCTTTGGATAATGAAGCTTGTAGTGTCTAGGAGAAAGTAATTTGAGCTAATGTTCTCAAACGGTGCAGGGGTAATGTGTTCTAGGATGGTGTAGAGGTAATGTGTTCTAGGATGGTGTAGAGGTAATGTCCCACGACGGCGTAGAAATAATGGCGAGCATGCAGGTATCGAGAAAAGGTGATAGTGATAGTGGCAGTGGAACGTATACTGAAAATGTATCAAAGTCATGTGGACCACCACATTCAGTTACAGAACTGCACCATGTACTTCTGAGTTATTCGGGGCATTAGAACTGTGCCGTACCCCTGTTTTAGCGTAACCTATCCATAGTTGAATCTATCCATAGTTGAACCTGTCCATAGTTGAACCTGTCCATAATTGAACCTGTTTATAGTTGAACCTGTCCATAGTTGAACCTGTCCATAGTTGAACCTGTTCATAGTTGAACCTGTCCATAGTTTAACCTGTCCATAGCTGAACCTGTCCTTAGTTGAACGTGTCATTAGTTGAACATGTCCATAGTTGAGAATGTACATAATCAACCTGTCATTTAAAAAAAAAACCCTATCCATAGCTTAACCTGTCAAAAGTTGAGCTTGTTCATTGTTAAACATGTCCATAGTTGAATCTGTCCATAGTTGAACCTGTCCATAGTTGAACCTTTCATAAAATACTGCTAAAGTAATCAAATTAATCTGCTGGTGAATATTGACTCTGCTCTATTTGGTTCATACGCTCTGACCTGCTGCGTTATCCGCCTCATTTCTGACAACAAGTACAAGACCAATGCTCTAAGGTGAAAACAGTCATTCAATCTGGCAAATACATCTTTATACAAGTACGCAAGATGTAAATATTGCCGAACGTGGCTCGCAATTCTGTCTTCATTCTCCATCGTGAAGTTCATGGACGATGTACGACGAGCCGTTCTTACGCTTTCGATATTTTGTCACATCAGTAAGAACGGCCATCTGACATCTCCATACAGGTTACATGGATGTCAACTCCTCATACACTGTCACTTTCTTGTCACTCTACAAGATAGGCGAGTCTACTTGTCCCTTTCTTGTCACTCTACAAGAGAGTCGAGTCTACTTGTCACTTTCTTGACTCTACAAGACAGTCGAGTCTACGTTCTTCCATTTCGTCCAAAGGAAGATCAAATGAGGTCACATATTCCATTTTGAATACATAGCCTGAACCAAATGGATGGTTCTCTGTCGATGGTTCTCTGTCGATGGTTCTCTGTCGATGGTTCTCAGTCTGAATGTTGATGGATCATCATGATGGATTGCTAGTTTATAAGTAGACCTATCCCATAGTTGATTGATAAATGGTGATCCTAAGATAACGTCGTAAGTATAAAACAGATACATTCTCTTTGCGTAGTTATCAGACACACAATCATTCAAGGCTGCTGTTAGGGGAATAAAATGTTATTATTTTATATAATAATTTATAATGTACAAAATGTTACAGATATTTTTCAGCATCACTGTCAATATAAGCTTAGTCAATATATTGTCTGTTGTTCTGTGTATGTTAAAAAAATGGGATATTTTTTGTAAGCGGTCGGCTAAATTTATTTAATCTACTGATGCCCTATTACAGCATCCAGATTGCCCAGTCTTTTGGATGTTACTTCATTTATAAACAGTTACTGTTGTGTTATTGTGTGCACAAGCGCTGACATACATGTAACTTTTGCATAAGGCATAGTCCTCTAATGCTTTATTTTTTAGTATATTCTTTAATTTGGCGCATGGATATTTCATGCCATCTTTGTATGTTGTTTGGTGTCGTCTTCCGCTGCCGGAAATAAGTCTTAGAAAAGTAGATGAGGTTTGAGTCATGGGGATTATAACCTGGAGATTACAACGACTTATCCCCTTGGTCTCGCAGCCTTGGTACAACCTAGCTGCGCAGTTAAATACAGCCGGGGCAAAGCTAGACAAGAGCCTAGTTACTTTCATTCCACCCCTTACCAAACTGATCAATGTTATTTCATGCTTTATTTTAAACAGTGGCGAAGCTAGGGTAGGTGCCGTCCGGGGGCCAAGACTCTTGCTGCTCCTTCCACGAAAAAACTCTGGAGTTGGCCTAAACTGCCACCCGTGATATTAAGAGAAAAAAGTACCGCCAGGGGCGTAGCTCACCCCCTTCCTTCGCCACTGGTTTCAATGGTTTGTTGTTAGCTTACAGCGTCTACTGTTGTGATGTTATGAAATTGTTTAATTCCTTGTACATATGTATATATTTATGAACGGGGCGAGACCCCCAGCCCCCTCTCATCTTAAATCCAAATTACTCTTAAAGCTCTGACCTGTCCTCGTGGTCATTCCGACACTGATGGTCTCAACATGACCTATCTCGTGGTCTATATCCATCGCTGATGGTCTGTGTAGTTGGTTGTTTTAATTGGTTGTTTTAGTTTGATGTTTTAGTTGGATGAAATACTCTAAGGTCATCCATTGGTTCTAATTTTAATATCTCTAGCGATATTATTTTTTTCTATATGGAGATGCACAGTCTAAAACCTGTGCAAAGATATGTGCCATTAAAATGTTATGGTGTGTACATACGAAATATAAAGATTTGGGATTGGATGGAAGAAGATGATCAGTGTTTGGTCAAGGCGTATAGCTAGAGATTGGTCAAGGCGTAGTGATAAGGATGGTCAAGGCGTAATGCTAAGGATGGTCAAGATGTAGTGCTAGAAAATGATAAAGGCATAGTGCTAGAGATGGTCAAGGCGTAGTGCTGTATCCACAATTGATCTCTATTGACGTGCGTAATCCAAGCCCCTCATCATTCTCACATATAATTATCATATAAATTGATTAACATGAGTTGTAAATTTGACTATTGACTAACAATGTGCTTTAAATGTGACAATGGACTAACCTGTGCTTTAAATGTGACAATTGACTAACCTGTGCTGTAAATGTGACATGAATATTTCATTCCATAGAGCGATCATGACTTTGAAATATTTCATCAGCATTCCCCTCACCCTAAAGTCATTGCGTCATCAGACCTCAAAAACATTGCATCAAAATCTCTGAACCAGAAATTACGATAATAATATTTTTTAAATTAAAAAATGCTCCCCCAGCCAACCCCCCCCCCTAAAAAACCAACAACATCAACAACAACTGCTGTCAATCCATTTTGTTGTTTATCCATAAGTGGATGCCATGTCTTCGAAAACTGGTTGAAACAGTCTGGTTGGTTTTCCTGGCCCATTTGCACAAAGAGTAGCCAGGATTAGGCGGAGGACGCTCTGAGCCAGGCTGTCCTTCAGCCGCAGAATGGCCGCCGGTCCGCGCCCCACACTAACGGTAACGAAGATGGAGCCCCAGGCCACCGGGACGCAAAGCTCGGCAATTTTCATTCGGCAAAAATTAAACCTTTTCAGATGCATATAAAACTTTGGCTATACCGCAGAACAATGTACACTAGGTGGCGCTTGTGATAAAAAAAAGGCCAGCCAATCGTTGATGATCTACATTGCAATACTATAACTACATCGGACTCATGCATTCCATATATACATAACTTGTGTACATATTGTATCTAGGTACATATGGTATCTCTGTATATATAGTTTGAGATTTTGACATGTATATTTCAGTTGTATATTTTTCTGCGTTAATGAACTATCGAGAATATTGTTGAAATAAAAATTGAACTATCAGTTTGGAGTCTTTGTATGTTTTTGAAGAGTTTATTTTGAGTTATGTTATGTGTGAGAGTAAAGTCATGTTATATGTGAGAGTAAAGTCATATTATGTGTGAGAGTAAAGTCATGTTATGTGTGAGAGTAAAGTCATGTTATGTGTGAGAGTAAAGTCATGTTATGTGTGAGAGTAAAGTCATGTTATGTGTGAGAGTAAAGTCATGTTATATGTGAGAGTAAAGTCATATTATATGTGAGAGTAAAGTCATGTTATGTGTGAGAGTAAAGTCATGTTATGTGTGAGAGTAAAGTCATGTTATGTGTGAGAGTAAAGTCATGTTATGTGTGAGAGTAAAGTCATGTTATGTGTGAGAGTAAAGTCATGTTATGTGTGAGAGTAAAGTGATGTTTAGTGTGAGAGTAAAGCTATGTTATGTGTGAGTAAATTAAGGACAAGCTACATCCATTGAATGATGTTCGTGATGAGAGTGATGTGACGGACAGGCTCGGAGGGCCGAACATCTTCCGGTTCTACCATTTGATATCCGTGTTATAAATCACCTGATATCCTTGTTATATGTCCGATACATCACGTGATATCCAAGTCGAATGCCAGCTACACATACCTGCTATATACTAGCTACACATACCCGCTACATACTAGCTACATATGCCTGCTATATAATCAGCAATCTATACCTGCTACATACTATCTGCATATACCTGCTGTATACTAGCTACATATACCTACTATATAACCAGATACATATACCTGCTATAGACCAGCTACATTTACCTGCTATATACCAACTACATATGCCTTGCTTTATACCAAGAACATATGCCTGCTTTATACCAACTACATATGCCTGCTTTATACCAACTACATATACCGGCTGTATACTAGTTACATAACGTACCAGTTGCTGATACAAATATTGGCATGAACTGCTGAGAAGAGGGACACCAAAACTTTCAGTTGAAGTGGTTGTCATGACAACTGCAACTTTAACTGAACATTGCCATAATAAGTTCATGGTCATTGGACGAAACACCGGTCAGTTTGACCCTACTTTAATTGGGTGGATTGCAACAAGGTTCCAAAGTGTCGGCAGCGCTCCTTAGCCACAAAGAGCACTAACTCACCAAATGCCATTGTTGGGACTATGGGGAGATCAGAGCTGCAGGCGAGTTCTACGATGAAGTTACGGCTTTGATCAGTGTAACATTATGGAGCGTGTTAAAGAATGGGGGAATGTGTGTGTTAAAGAATGGGGGATGTGTGTGTTAAAGAATGAGGGATGTATGTGTTAAAGAATGGGGAATGTATGTGTTAAAGAATGGGGGATGTGTGTGTTAAAGAATGATGGGTGTGTGTTAAACAGTGTGGAATTTGTGTGTTAAAGAATGTGGAATGTATGTGTTAAAGAATGGGAAATCTTTGTGTTAAAGAATAAGGGATGTGTGTGTTGAAGAATGGGGGATGCATGTGTTAAAGAATGGAGGATTTGTGTGTTATTTATGGAGAATGTATGTGTTAAAGAATGGGTAATATATATGTTAAAGAATGAGAGATGTATGTGTTAAAAATGTGGTCCACACCCCGGGCGGCACTTGTTTTGTTCATATGAAGGGGTGGCATTTTCGGTCAACTACGCATATTTGTTTCGTGGAAGGGGGTGGCAAAAATCTTTAACCCCCGGGCGGTACTAACCCTAGAGCCGCCACTGCGTTCAATCCACGCAAGTCGTTCATAAGAGATGAAATAAAACGATTTCAATAGAGTGATTTATTTTCCTTTGACTACAGAAAAAAGTCTGAGTTCTTTTGTTGTAGAGAGTTCTCACTGACGACAGTATAAAGCTTGTCTTTGTGTAAATAGCCTGGTGGGCATTCAAGCGTGAATAATCGATCCTTGCTGACGTCACATTATTTCCCCAACATGTCGTCATCATTGATCTCCAATTAAGCCCTATGGTATTGATTAGCCACGATCAAATCCTTTACATTGTAACACACATAAGAGGGATTAATTATCGACATAATATATTAGAGGGAGTACGCATTGACCCATATTGGAGGGAGTACATTTTGGCATATTATTGGAGGGGGTCCACATTTGGAGGTGGTACACATTTGGAGTGGGTACACATTTGGAGTGGGTACACCACGTGGAGTGGGATGGAATGAAAAATGGTTGACGGTTGGGGTATCTTAATAAATTTTCTATAGCAGGAATTCTTAACCTTCTTTGCAGCGCGGCAATTTCACAACATTTCCCGCACTTTTACCCCACTCCACATAAATTATAATGTAATAAAAAATTGAAAACTGTAAATAATCAAATAATTTAGATTGAGGCTTTATTTGTTTACTATTTACTATTTCTTATTAACTTTCTAGAAAAAAAAAGACCACTACAAGTAATGCGCAAGCAAATCTCAACAGAAAAAAAAACAATTACTGCTGCTCATCAAAATGCATAAAATATGAATTTATTATTAAAAGCAGCAGCAACGAGCAGTGGCAGTATATGCAATTTATTTTCTTGGTCTTTTTGCACCTCAGGGGGGCGTTTTCACCCCTGGTTCAGAACCACTGTTCTAGAGAAATGTTTCTGAATCAAATGCAGTAATTCGATATCTTTGGGAGGTGATTTTCGAAAGGGTTTGTAAAGGACAGTCGTGGACAGAGGGATTTTTTATAGTCGGAAAAAAAGGGGGGGGGGTGCTAAGGTTTGGGACGTTATATTTGAGGGGAGGGGGTGTCTAACATTTATTGAAGATTTGTGACGATCGGGGAGGTTGGGGAAAATGGGCAAAATTTACGTGACGGCATTTATGGATGGCCTCTCAGACCAGTTGTAACATATGCAAGTGAAACTTGAACTCTTACAAAAATGGCAGAAAACCTATTTAACACACGGGAGAGAAAAGTTCCCGGGATATTTACGGAGCAACAAATGATGAATATGGATGGAGAATAGGAACCAACCACGATTTGTATAGTCTATAACAGGATCCAGAAATAAAATGGGTAGCCTACGATGGGCGGAACAATTAGAGAGAATGCCAAAAATGACAGAGGAGTAAAGAGGGTGCACCACAAAAACCCCCAGAAGAAAACTGCTCAAATGCAGACTTAGGCTTGGATGAATGGATGATGTGGAGGGGGAACAAAAAGCATTAGTTAGGTGTGATTGGAAGGAAGTGGTGAGGCAGGCCAAAGCCCTACATGGGTTGTAGCGCCACAGGGATAGATGTGCGGACAGGCAACGTAAGTTTCACAATTTGAGGAGCGCTGTCCTAGTCCCCCTTGTCCTCTAGCAACCGTTCATCTTTATCCCCTTGTATCCAAGTCCCCCTGTATCCTAGTCCCCCTGTCTCATTGTCCCTTTGTATCCTTGTCCCCAAGTATCCTAGTCACCTCTCACATTTGTCGCTCTGCATACACCGCTATTCGTCAAGCAGCTCCATTAGCCAATACCTCACAGTTAGCACGACAAAACCCTCGTCTGTGCTCTTGTTCTCTCTCACCTTGACTATTGTAACTCTCTTCTGTCAGGTTCACCAAAAAACTTCATTGAAAAATTACAAAAGGTTCAAAACTCAGCTGCTAGGCTAATTCTAAAGACAAAAAAAAAAACAACAACAACAAAAAAATAAAACGTGATCACGTCACACCACTAGAGTCTACTTCATTCACTTCATTGGCTCCCTGTACAAGCACGGATTGACTACACACTCTCTTTTCTCTGCCACACCTTTTCTGGAATTCATGCCCTTCCTATCTAACCGAACTTCTCTCTGTCTATTCACCCCTTCGACAGCTTCGCTCCCCCGCAGACGCACGTATTCGTTCTGTCCCCAAGACTCGCACAAAAACATAAGTTGAACGATCGTTCTCTTTCTGTGCCCCCAAGCAATGGAAGCCCTTCCACTACACATTCGCAATATACCAACCATCACAGTCTTCAGAACGGCACTCAAAACACATCTCTTTCAACTCTACTATCCTGACTGATTCCCCTCTCTGTCCGATAAATGAAGCTGCTGGGTAGCCGTCCATGGCTTGACATGTAAATAGTTCTTGAATGTGTGGAGTGAATATACATTTGTTTTGTTTAATTAAATTAATATATTATATTAAATTATATGTACAGCGTGGTGAGCCCAGCCCTAGACTGGGGTACCGCGCTATATAAAAACACCAATAATAATATCTCCCTTATCCTAGCCCCCTTGCATCTTAGCCCCCTTGAATTTTTATCCTAGCCCCAATGTATCCTAGTCCCCTTGTATCTTAGCCCCCTTGTATTTGTATTCTATTCTCCCTGTCTCTTAGTCCTCTTATATCTTAGCCCTCTTGTATTTGTATCCTAGCCCCCATGTCTTCCCTCCAACGCGTAAATCCATTCTCCATTGATCTCTACAGAAGATATCAAGTGGCTGCTGTCTTTTCAAGATCGATACCTACAGATGAACAGTTAGGGTTGTCTATAATTAGCCAGGCCATGTAATGACAGCTTGTTTCTATAAACGCTGGCATCCAGCATTGAGTTTAGCACACAATCTGCGATGCCAAGCATCTTGTTTCCTTAAAAACTTGATTATGAAAGATTCGCTTCATTCAAGAAAAGATAAGAAATCCCGTGGGTAAGATTGATATAGATTGGGTCAATTGTTAGAAGCTATTTCTAGAAATAAACAAACGTTTCTACAATGCTACGTGGAGGGTAATCTATACAGCACACCGTATTAACATTGACGCGATATGAACATTAACTCCATATGAACATTGACACGATATGAACATTTACCCCATAGGAACATTTACCCCATAGGAACATTGACACAATATGAACATTTACCCCATAGAAACATCGACACGATATGAACATTGACACCATGGGAACACTGACGCGTTATAAACATTTACCCCATAGGAACACTGACTCGATATGAAAATTTACCCCATATGAACATTGACACGATATGAACATTTACCCCATAGGAACA